AATAACCCAATCTCCTGTCTTATTCTGTATAAAACATATAAACCCTGGAGTTTAGATCTGCACAAACATGCTCTGAAATGTGATTAGTTTGTCATTTTCTCAATTCTTCTGAATGTGTTTCAAATTTGAACTTTGAACACCTTTTAAAACACAACACAAATCTAATCACATTCTCCATCTTTGTCTAAAAAAGCACAATTCAATATTTTTTCCCCATTATTTTTGCCTGATCTGGAGGACTGGACCGCCGGCTGGAGACAGCTGAAAGGGGACAGCATGAGCAGCACAAACAGAGCTGAGCACATGTGATGAGCAGAGGTCATAAAGCGTGAGAGAGGAGGGGCCTGGGGACGAGTTTGGAAAAATAACCGTCTACAACGAGCAAACGAATGAATCACCGGAGCTGGGGATGTAACAATAAACCAAATATTATGAAATCATACCATCAAAAGTCTTACAATAATATTGTGGACCATCACAATATATAGAATTACAAGTCTCTTCGCTATGGTACAGCAATGGCTAAAAAAAGAAGAAACTACATAGACCATGATCCTTTGCTCCATTTCAGCAGTCTACCTGAAAAAATTACTGTTGTTAAGCACTTTTAAATATTTGTTCTTCGGGTTAAGTCTTGTCAAGGCATTTTAAGAGGAAAATGTTGCATATTTACAGTTTTGTTAGCCTCCACAAAATATTGCAATAAATATCATACCCTCATATGAGTATCATGAAAATACCATAACCAGAGATTTGGAAATCGTTACATCCCTAGGAGCTACACACAGCAATTTCCTCAAACCAATTCAAAATAATGTTATTAAAAAATCAAATATTATGGCTGTGGCTTTAAATAAGTCTAAACAATAATAGATTTTCCTCTTTCATCATATTGTGGAGCCCTAACGTTTTTTTAGTACAAGGACTGTATAGTTAAATACATTATTTAAAGATAATAAACTGTAATTAAAACTTTATTGTGCCTGTAATGGGGTAACCCGAACAGCCCAGACCAAAATCTCTTTCACCACAACCACAAATCTGCACCTGAGCGGCCATGACGAGGCCATGACACAGACCTCACAGGGACCACGATAGTTTTAACTGGCATTTTTACCCAGCAGTGTGTAGCAATTATACATTGCACAGTAAAAATTGATATTGAATCACATTGCAATTATTATAATTATTTTTTTATTATTATTTGTAGGAGCCATATTGTGCCTCTCTACCTCCCGCCTCTGTGTGGTGCTATTTGTAACTTGCTATGAAATTTGCTGCCCTATATAAGAGGGAGAAAATGTGCACACAGGTGTTTTCACCGTGGAGGTACACAGTCTTTTGACCGTCGCCATCGTTGTGATCTATCGAGTGCCGAATCTGTGTATTTTTGGATGGCTATGAGGTACGCCAATAAATGTTGAGGAACACAGTATTTGGACTCTGTTTTATTGAAGACACGCATCTGAGACACCACACACGCTGCAGCCATAGCGGACCTTGCACAGGGCAAGTTTTGGCCGCTACATTATTATTATTATTATTTTTACATTATTACATGATTTCTGTTCTAATGTTGTTTCCTCATCACTACAAACCTGGAGTTGTGTTTTGTTTCATTCACACATTTTTAACAAACAAACCCTGCACATTTGGGCAGAGTTCTTCTCTCAAACTGGAACCACTCCAGTCCAACTTGTGATGTCATTATGTGGTCATACAGGAAGTCCATTGTGTTTTTAAACTCCACACACCTTCACTAGAATCATTTGGATCATTTCAGCTCTGGAACTGCCAATCTTTACTGAACTAAAGGTAAAGGAACCATTCACTTGAAAACTACCGCTTCATGACATCACAAGGTGGAACAGAGCATTTAGAGCTGTGGAGATGTAGACAGAGTAATAATAAAGGGTTATTACTCAAATGCGTGAATGAAGCAAAACACAACTCTAAGTATGTTTTTGAGGAGGGACAAACATTGAGTGCGTATACATGCACATCAATAACCCGGTTATTAGCCATATCCCGGTTATGTCAGTATTCGGGTTACTGCGTATACATGCACCATCAAGAAACCGGGATACTCAAAAAACCCGATCATAACCGGGTTATTGATGTGCATGTATACGCACTCATTGTAAAAAGTCTAAAAGCTCACAGGAAACCAGTTTTGCTTAAGGTACAGTATGGCAGCTCTGACACAGCAAAGGATCATGGTCAATGTAGTTCAGTGTTTGATGTGTGATTAGGCAAAGCTGTTGCCTCACAATTCATAATATTATTGTGATATTACCAAATCACTGTATAATTATAAGAAATGCTTTAACTGCTCAACAGTGATCACAGGAGTGGTTCTGGAGCAAAGAGTCAGATCTAGTCCAGTGAGTTTCATTGGCACAGCCCAACATCACAACAACAGCATGCCCGGGGTTTTCCACAGACATGTGTTTGGAAAATAAACCACCGAAGAATGAAGCCAGTAGTCAGTCCTGGGATGTCCCGGGCCCGCCTCCTTCCCTATGAGGAGCACCAGGGCCCGTCACCTCCCCGTAAAGAGCCGTGCGCTCAGGAGGACCGGCCGCTCTGCTGACTGCGGGATGAGTAAAGCCTCGGGACCGTGACTCACCGGTGACATCATTCTGAAGTCACACGAGCTTCTATAGAAACCCGCTCAGTGCACGAGGGGCCTACTTTCGGAAAACCACGTGACCTTCTGGCACTGTGCAGAGTGCACGAGTGTGAAATGCATTATGCATGTTAGTGCGCACTCGTGTAAATACAATAGCCTTCCTCTGCTCACGTTGTTTTCGATTCGGTTCAAGTGCGCGATTTGTGGAGCAGGTTGAGCAGATGATACAAGCATGGACATGCCACACATCACAAACCAGCAACCAAAAGTGATGCCAATAGTGATGCTAAACCGCGCACGGCTAAGCTCCTCACACAAACATCACAAGAATTCACTAAAGAACAAGTGTTTACGAGATCAGATCATATGGAGCAGATGAACGTACACAAAACAACAGATCCTCCATCTGGGAAACACGAGCGGAGCGGAGGCGCCGAGGCCGAACACTTGTTCCACACAACACACCGTAAACAAACGCTCCTCCAGCCCTGAGCAGATAAACAGCGGGCAGAGCAGGGCCTCTCTGCCCGTGTCCTCAGCAGCTGCAGCGTCGGCTCTTACCACACGGAGCCGTACGCCCCGGAGCCCACCGGGGACAGGCTCTGATAGCGCTGCGGGACCTCCCACACGGTCTTGTTGAGCTCCTGTCGGTGGAACACGGGTCTCTCCTGCGACATTCCTGCGGACAGAACAGCAGCGGAAACTTCAGTGTTCTGCGGCGTGGCGCTGCTCCTCTGCGCTCAAACTTCTCTCCACAAACACCTCCAGAGACACAGAGCACAGCGGGGTCAGGGTGTGCAGATACGGGGCTGTGGCGCAGGGTCTCCCCCACTGTCGGTGCACAGCGGGCGGCTCTCGGGACTTCCTCTGACCGCTGTCTCCGGGAGTCTCCAGGAGGACTAGCTTTCGCTGGATTTCGCCCTGTTCTTTCACCGCTTATGGCACTGTGCGCGCAGGAGCAGCAGGAACGCGCACGGGGTTTGGCGAGATTCTCGCAAATCTCGCGAGAAGTGAACCTGTCGTTAGGACACTTGGGGATATCCCGTCACAGCCTCAGAAATAAGAAAATGACCAAAGTGCGAGACAACTGAAGCCACGGTGATCTCCGCCTGCTGGGCCAAAGGGCTAAATCTGTAAAATGTCAATTGTCAAAAACTGTCAGTGATGTGATGCAGTTCAGGTTAACAGCCAGTTACAATAATTTTAACAACACATGGTGCTCTAATTCCCCAGTAATCTCAAAACAGGGAAAACCTGGTTTGTTACAAAAATAAGCAGCCTAAAGTTGATTTCATGTGCCTCTGTATCTCTCCTTTTTGTTCAAACGCGTGGAAATTGTGCCATCTTATGGGAGCTTGGCAAACTGCATTGACTAAAAAGAGTTTCTCTATGTACCTGCTCCAAACTGAACTCACAAGAGTACACCTGCAGGGGGAGCTCATGCAAAAACTACTGTTTACGCTGAAAAACGTACCAGGAAACAACGTATTCATATAAAGACAAATGTAACTTGTGTTTAATCTGCCTTTTCATATAGAAATAACAAAAAATATCATATCCCCAGATAACTTCTCGATTCTGTTGTTTCCCCATATAAATCCTTATAATCAAAATAAATTAATAAGCAATTATAACCAAAGCTACTAAAAATAAAAATAACCAAAGCTACTAAAAATAAAAATAACCAAAGCTACTAAAACCCTACAGCCCTAGGAATGAAATAGTGGAACTCTGGTAAATAGCAATTTCTTATTCAAAACTACTTGACCATTATACACAGAATAACAAATAAAATGCAACAAGTAGTAGTTTCTCAATTTCTCAATGCAAAGACACATAAACATTTGGAAAACAGTTTAATTAAAATTGCATTGGACCCTTAAATATTTCATTCTCAGTTATAAAGAAGTGGAAACTGAAAGTAACAGCATTTGACATGATCATAACTGACGTCCATACAGATTTGGCATTAGATTAGGTTTAAATTACACTAAAGATACACAGAGTGTCATTATTATTTCATGTACTGATATGTGATTTACTGTACTAATTGATGGCAGTAAGAAACATTAACAGTTAAGTATTTTAAATTGTGCAAAGTGTGTTTTCGATGTCAACAATTTCAGGAAAAAACAGCATAAAATAAAATCTATAATGTACAGACAACCTTTACATATATTTTCTTCCCTCCACCTTTTTCACAATAAGAACAAAGTATAGGGCAAAAACAAGGCTCCATATTCAGGCTAGATCTTTTTATTTTTCCCATTAGATTTAGAAAGTCTTTATTGTAACTGAAACTGGGGCAGACAAAATGACTATTGTTAATAAGTAAAAGTATTGTACTAAAGTAGTAGTGATATGAGACAAGTCACTAAATTATCAGTTTGACAACGTTTGACAAATTTAAGTGAATGTTGTTCTAGTTTAGTCCTGGTTTAGACCAAGTTTACAATATCTTGGGTGGGGAGGGCTATTTTCAACAGGTGGTTAGCCATTGTCTGATGTAGACTTGGTTTGGTCGTGGTGTAGTTCAGGTTTAGATTTGAGTTGAGTGTAGGGATGGACTAATCCAGCAGGTGAGATTCTGACAATGATACTTTGACTTTATGTATCGACTGATACTCAATATCAACCATTACCACAGAAAATGGCCCTTATTTCCTTAAAACACAGTTGAATTATAACACAATTCTGCTATGCAACTGTTTTTTTATCCTTCAAATTGATCCTTCAAATAACTATGAAATCAGAAACCAAAATCCAGATTTTTTTCAGTATCAGCACCAATATTTGATACCAGTATCAATATCAGCGCATCTCTAGTTTAGTGCCAAATTTATATGGTGAATTTCCAAGTGTGAACACAGATTAGTACAGGTTCAAATCTAGATCAGGCCAAAGGTAGTTCTAGTTTGCATATTTATATTAAGAACTAGATTAGTGTTGATAAATCCAAACATTTTCTGAAATGGAAATCGATGTAAATGTTTTCAAGCAGAAACATGGAAATTTGCTCAAATTTGCCCTGTTAAAAAGTGTACTATGTAACTTTTCTGGTGGACGGTCTGCCAGTACGCCATTAAATGTCCATTATTAATCTCCCTGGAGACGAGCAGGTGACACCACCAGGCGAAGTTACAGGTCAGATCTGTGGACAGTGTAACCAGCTCACAGTATTTTATGTATTAAGTTATTTTGGAACAAAAATGCAAACAACAACAACAACCACCATGGGGGTAAACTCAAATTAAATGGATGCAAGATAGACAGGTTTAATGCCATACTATAGAATGTTCCAGGCAAACTAGCCTGTCTTCATGAAGACAGGCTAGTTTGGCAGACCTTCCACCAGAAAAGTTACACAGTGCACCTTTAAAATCAGTATTTCATTTATAGATGAAAGTGTCAAATGTATCCAACAGCTTTGAATGAGAAAAAACAACCTTCATATCTGTAGTCCACTCTCATTGTTGAATATGCAGTATCATCCACCACCAGTAGTGGGAGAAGCACTCTCTTCTCATCTTTTTAAAGGGGTCCCACAGGTGCCCCATTGCATCAGGGTGCTGTGGTTTAAGTCCAGTTCAAACAGTGCCCCCTACAGTTCTGATTCATGAGAGTATGCAGCTTCCATCATTTCAGAAACATGATGTAAAAGGCCATGAAGAAACAGGAGAGAGCCACAGGGACGTGAAGACGCGTGCCGATCACTGCAGCTAAAGACACAGAGAGAGGGGAGAGGGCATGGTCAAACATAGAGGTAAACTGAGGCCTGAACAAAGGAACTGTAAGTTTTTATATGAAGTTTCATCAACTGGACCTGTGTCCCCAGATATCGAATTATCAGTTTTTCAGTTCTGATGTCGATATAAGTATCTGTAGACACAATCAAACGAGACCAATGCAGACACTGAATACAGGATTTACTTCCTTTAAACTAAAATTAGACAAAACTGATCCAAATGTGTTTTGCATTTTTGTGTAAACAAAAGTTCAAACATTATTAGACTTTCTGTCCCAACTTTTGAGCAGTAAATATTACATCGATTCATATGTCCAACTAAGATATCAGCTGAACTGATATTTGAAGACCAATATTTGATACCAGTCAGACTGATGCATCCCTAACTTGGATAGGAGGTAGACACTTTCATAACAAATACAACAATTCTAATTGGAGGCCTTGCAGCATAGCTGCAAGCTGTAATACACGAAGATCAGAACAAGAACCAATGTGCAAACATGTGGCTCCAGAGTGAGTCAAAATTGGGGGTGTGTATGTCTGTTCAGAACCTGCATGCACAGAGAGGTCCCGGTGTTCCCCGTGTTTACGTAGCAACCAGTATTTATTATTTTAGGCTTATAATTAACCAAATAATTCTATGGCAATAGGCAATAGCCTATTCAATAGATTCAACGTTAAAAATGTCCTGCTTTTAGCCTAGTGTGAGAAATACAGTCGGACTAGAGCCAAACCAGAGTCCTGAACCACCGGGAGCAGCTCCGGTTCAATCCAGGCTCAGAGGAGCTGGAGCGGGAAGTGGTGTCAGGAGCCTCGGCCTGAGAAGAACTTTCCCCGGGAAGAACCAACAGTGTGGAGAACGGACGCTCAGAACAACATATAATCAACCAAACTGGACTCACGCTTCTGTCCGGATGCTTTACACCACGTCGGAACCAGCCACGGTTCTTGAGCACGGAGGACTGGAGCAGCCCGTCCGGACCTGTAGTCCACAGCGCATTCTCGCTTTTCCAGCACGGAACCAGCGAGCAGATGGTGACACGGAACCCCTTGGACCCAGTCCATCAAGCACTAGTCTTGCTTGCTCTCGTCTGGAACCAGCACATTTTGGTTGGTTTACCGGTGTACTGCAAATCTGGGACGTCTTCTTCAGCGGAAATATTTTTAAAAAGCACTCCGGGGGCATTATACGGGTTGGTAATATTTAATCGGTTAAATTTTTTTATGTAAAGCTCAATGTCTTGTGAATTAAAGTGTGCTGAGAACTCCAATGGCTTGAAAGCTTCAGCGGTGGCGCTACCCATTTTCACTGCCAAAATGGCGGCCTGCCTACTGTGAGTCACGTGGGGTCCGGAGCTCTATAGCGCCCCCTAGGGAGATTGTATGGAACAATAAAATTTTACTTTTTGTAGACATACAAAATTTGGTACACACATTCGTGACCTGGTCTTGATGAAAAAAGTCAGTGATGCCCACACTCCATCTCCCATGGTGTTGCCATGGGAACAGGTCAAAAATCAATCCTCGCCAAGGGGACGTCCATCAAAAACTTTGATGTACTCAAACCAAATTTGGTACACAGATGAATCATGGGAATAGGAACAAAAAGGTATATCGTGACCCCCCCAAACCGGAAGTCTGCCATCTTGGATAAAAAAAAACAACAAAAAAAACAACACATACAGAAATTGAAAAAAAATAGTAGGATTAGTTTAAGATTAGGGGTTGAGTCTATGGTTAGGGTTACGCCTAGGGTTAGGTTTAAGTTTAGGGTTATTAGCAGTTAGCAGGGTGCGGCGTTCTGAGGGGCGTGGTGTTTGTGGGGTGCAGCATTTACAGGGTGTGGCTTTTGCGGGGCATGGCGTAGACGCGCGTGTGGGCCGATCATTGCCGCTTGCGGCTATATTTATTATTTTTCTCCTAACCAACTCACCTATTTTTCATCCACTGAACAATGACAAAAAGTCCTGAAGTTTTGCCATCTGATATTTCCATTTTCCAAAAATAAATAAAATGTCTCATCAGCGCCCCCAAAAAACTCAAAAATGCATTAATGAATACAAATGAGGGCAAAAAAAAAAATTGCATGTACAATCATGAAATCTGACACAGAAGTCGATCATGTCATGACAAGGAAAAAATATTATTACGCCAACACCGTGCGCTCCACTAGGGGCAGCAATATTGGCTTAAAGTTTGCTAAACTTTTACAAACTCCTCCAAGGGCATTCACCCGAAAGAGCTCAAATTTGGTCAACATTATCTCAAGACGTGGAACATCAAAAGTTATCCAAATTTTTCACACGCGTCTTACGGTCTCTGAGCAGTGAAGCAACAAAAAATGCACACAATTTTGGAGATTTACAAATTGCTCCCATTTGCTCAAATGAACTCCGATTTCAATGAAATTTGAAACAGTTGTTAAAGTCTCTGTCTTTAAACTACTTAATGTGAAAAATACTAATTTGATGCATTAGCACCCCCTATAGGTTGAAACTAAATTTAATATGGGAGAAAATCATTTGTTCCCAAATAGTCATTCAAAAATTGCTGAAATTTTAAACAAAATTCCATTTTGGCATCCTGATTCAAAAGTCAATGACACACGTCATATTTTTCATGGCGTTGCCATAGCGGTGACATAAACTCTCCACGTTATTCCAAAGGTTAAAATCACCTAGTTGCACAAACTTTGGCCGATTTCACTCAAATTTTAATCGTGGGTTCACACCCCGACTATGAACAGACTGATCTAAGAAAAATGGGTGCAATAGTGCCCCCTAGAAAATTTGTATGGAAAAATAGTGTTTTATTAGTCATAGATATGTAAAACTTGGTACCCACATTTGTGACATGGTGTCGATTAAAAAACTCAGGATTAGGTTTAAGCTTAGGGTTATTAAGGTTAGTGTGGAGCGCGGTGTTTTGCGGGGCGCGGCGCTTGTGGGGCCCGGCGTAGGCGTATGCGAGGGCCGATCATCGCAGCTTGCAGCTAAATTTATGCTCTTTGAGCTCTAATTTGACCCCCTAAACACGTTTAAAAACTCACCAAACTTTGCCCAAAATTCGGAAGTGGCGAAAAATTCGATAAAATATAGATTTCGTCCATGGGCATAAAAAAATTGTGACACAGCGCCACCTGGAAAAGTCAAAATACATTGCACCTATGGGAGGCGTCCCGAAGTCAACTTTGTCGTAGAGCCACGAAATTTGGTACACACATTCTTCATGTGAAAACAAAACAAAACAAAAAAAATTTAATATGACCATGCCCCATGACAAATCAGAAGACGGCCATCTTGGATTGAAATTTGAGTCCACATTTCCGCTGACGTTGCGTTTGAATGCACTTCTCTGAAGGCGCTTTGCCCACAGGGCTGAAAATCACCGTACATCATCTAGAGAAGTGGAACATCTAAAGTTATCCAATTTATTTTGATAACTGTCATGGTTTCCGTAAATTTCAATCAAGATTTTGGCTAATTTCAAGATGACATTATTTGCTCCAGTTCGCACAGGCTTAGTCCGATTGTGCTGAAATTTGAATCACTAATGTGTGATCTCAGCCTGAATATAATATACTATAAAACATATGAAAAGTGAACACTATAGCGCCCCCTACCATAGACATGAAACGTCAACAATATTGGATCTGCACCAAATTTGGAAATTAAATTCTATGAATAACTACAAGCAAAAACATATTACTGACATGGAGCATTTTCATGGTTGGCCAGGAGGGGGTGCAAAAACTCCTACAAAAACATTTAAAGGTGCACTATGTAATTTTTCTTTTGGAGGATGGTTTGGCACACAAATTTAGAAAAATGGTTAGAAGTTAGGGTTAGGGCAAGGTTTAGGCTTAGAGTTGGGATTGAGGCTATGGTTAGGGTTACGACTACGGCTAGGTTTAAAGTTAGGGTTACATTAAGGGTTAGGCCTAGCGTTAGGGTTTGGCCTAGGGGTTAGGCTTGTGGTTGTGATTTACGATTGTAAGGGTTATGTGAGGCACGGCTTTTTTGGGACACTGCATTTGCAGGGTGTGGCGTTTGCAAGCGCGGCATTTGTAAGGCGTGGTGCTTGAGGGCGCCCGGAGGCAAGGGCAGTCTGACTCCGCTTGCAGCTTTAATTATTTTTATTTCTTCTGCTCTTTGAGGGAATTCTGGAGGTTCTGAACTTTTACATGAGCCATGGTCTGTCCATAAACTGAGAAGGAGAATAGTCTGCAGTCTGCAGGTGAGCGATCTGAGGATACAGGCTCAGTTGTGATTTTTGTTTTATAAAAAAACAGTAAAAGCTCAGGCTACATACAATTCTTTAATGTCATACTGAAGTCATTTAAACAGTAAATCAGATCCTGACTATCGCACAGACCTTTGTAGAAGACGCCCCAGACGCCCTTCTTCTCTGAGAGCAGCCAGCTGTTGATCCGGGGGACCTTTTTCAGATACGCACAGGTGCAGATGAGCAGCAGTCCGAACACTACTATCCCCTCAAAGGAGTACACTGTAGAGAGAAATAGGGACAGGCGACAGGTGAAACAGGATGACAGGTGAAGAGCAGCCCAGTGCTCTGCTGTGTGCAAAGGGGTCCAACAAATGATAAAATGCAGCACTAGTATCCAATACACTGGGTTCATGTGACATCAGGACATCGTAGAAGCCCTACAGTTTAAGCTAAGCTGAGACAGGTCAGAATCCTCAGGTGGAGCTTGCTGTTTTCACAGTAATGCAGATTTGTTGACCTGGTTTATGGTTCATATCTCTGTAATTACTGGGCCTATCCGCATGAAACCCAAAACATGCTACATAGGACTATAGGAAGAACAGTTGATAGTTAAGGTCAGTTAAATATAATCAATCAATGAACCTGCCCAGGGACTACAGCTGGAAATTAGCACTGATGCTACAACCTGGTACAAGCATCTCTCCTGTTAAGATTAATGTAAAAATGGTGTGCTGTCTCAAATAAATAAATCACTAAATAAATAAATAAAATGAAACTATAACAAAACAGTGAAATATTCTTCTCACGATCTCCTCAGAAAGAGGTGTCATGATGTTTGAGTAACCCTTTATTAGTCCGTCTACATCTCCAAAACTCAGAATGAATATCGGCTTGAGCATCCCCCTGGTTTGAAAGTCCCACCGCGAGCGTCCCATTCTTTCAGTAGAAATGTCCCCCTCCTCCCTCCAGGCAGCCCCTTCTCTTGGGCGGCACACGGGTACCTGCTGTGCCTGGGAGAGGGGGGACTTTCTCTCAGTCCTGTCACACACGCTGATGTATTGTGTTACAATACCAACTTCTATATCATAATAAAATGAAATGTGAGTGTACCAGACCAAATGTGGGGCCTTGTTTATGTCATTTTACTGATCATCCTAAAGCCGTACACATTTTTTCACTATGTAATATCAATATAATCCTCATTTACTCACTGAAGCTTACTATAAAATTGTATTTAATCATCCCCATGTCCTATAGCATCTGTAACTGTTGATGTGTATTCCATTGAAATATGTAAAGATAAAATTCTGAAATAGTTGTGGCACTCTCTCTTACTCACCAGAGGGGACTGAACGATTATGTGATTATGTGTAGTCCGTCAATTTCATTAAAGTGTGTTCCTCACTTGAGGACTATTCCTGAGGAGTAATTGGACACACTGTATTTACTCTATCTGTGTGTGTGTTTGAAACCATATCATTTTTGCATGTTTTGTTTGAATGTATGAACAAATAAGTTGAGATATATTGTAACTTGGATGTGTACAATGTTTTGTTTAGTTTGAAATGTTTTTTATTTATTTATTTATATGTATATAGATTATAAAGGGTACAATTCAAGAGGACTCTCCAGCCATGGGGACATTCCAGCTGATGTCCCTCAGAATGCTCTATTCCACCTTGTGATGTCATGAAGCTGTTCAAGTGAACAGCTCCTTTTCCCTTTAGTACAGTAGAGATAGGCAATTCCAGATCTGAAATTATCCTGTGATTCTAATGAAGGTGTGTAGAAAAAAAACAGTGGAGCACTTCCTGTATTATCAGGTGGAACAGGTGTTTTGAGTCAGACAGAAGAGCACAACCTAAAATCTACAGGGTGGTGAATTTGTGAATTAAATAAAACACAATTCTGGTATGTTTGTGATGAGGAAACTACATTAAAACAGAGATCAGAAAATAGCCTACTATGGGCCCTTTTGCATGTTGTATTTTGCATTTGTTAGGATTATGAGATCATGTCAAAACTATGGAGTTTGTTGACAATTCGTTTACAATTAGCCTACCTGCAAAGCAAAGCGTTAACAATGATATTACACAATTCAGCTGCATACATATTAAACCAACTAAACAATGCAAACTTGCCCAATATTAAATAAAGCATTGTAAAATTGTTGTGTGGAGAAGTCTTGGGGCCACGTACACAGCAGTGGCTAAGACAGCCTTAGCTTTGTTAGCATCTCAGCAGCTTTCTCTGTTATTTTGTATCTGTCACTATACATTTAGCTCTCAGAATCAAACAGAACAAGCTCACCATTGGTCATATTCGCAGCTTGATCTCCCACGGCGTTGTACACTGGAGTATTTTGTGAATCAGCAGTTCATTCTGGCTGTAGAGTTGGACTGAAGTGAAATAGTGTCGGAGAAGCGCTTGTTTTTGACATTTCCGGTTTCGTCATTGAAGCACGTGGCACTGACATCTGCTGGACAAACACTGCAATTGCAACACTCCCGAGTGAAACAGAAAAATGACTTCAAAGCTTCTGTTTTGTCCAGACAAAAGTGTAATAGGCAGGGCTCCCAAAATTTGACAACTAAATAGTACTAAATATAACTTAATATAAATACTAAATAAAACTAAATACACTGATCTCAAAATTGCCATTTGACCCTTATTTGTCAGTTCCTGTTCTCTGTCTTTGTATCATGAGCCAAAAATAAGGAGTTGTGCAAAGGCAAAAGGCAGAAACTGACATGATTATTATTTGCTTAATTTTGCCCAGACTTCCATCTATTATAGGAACATCTCACCAAAGTTGAGTCATCATGGGGTTTGTTTGAAATGATATAGAAGAGTTTTGGATTTCTTGTTTAGTGCTGATCAGGATCATGCGGCAACACTTACACAGTTAAGAAAAGTTACAAAAAAAATAATAAAAATGCGGTTCTTATTGCCTCTCCGTCTGACCTGTAACCTAGTTTGCTTGCTCAGTGGAGATATACATGTTTAATGCCATAGAAATAAAATCTTTATGGAGACAAGCAGGTTGAGCACCCTTCACAGGAAAACCTACAGAGAACCTAAGCAGTGGGGATAAAATGGTTGAGTGAGAATATTACTATCGATTACAGATGTTTTATTGCTCAAACATGCTATCAAAAACAGGCATTCTTACAGTAAGTGGGCTCATTTCTCCACTGATGTACTCTGTAACTTGACTGGGTTGTGTCACTTGCTTCTCTATTGTGGAAATAGAGAACTTTAAAGCCTTATTGTAGAACAATACAGGCAAAACAAACAAATAATTATAATAATAATAATTATTATAATCATTCTTTAAGCTTAATTTTAAACTGTGAGCTCTTTATATTCCTGTTACAAATACATTTCATGTATTTTAAACAATATATTTTACATTGTGGTATGGTTTCAAAATATATATTGTTAATAAAAAAAAATACTATGGCAACAACAAGAAAGTATAGAATGTTAAACACTCAAATTTGACATTTAAATGTTTAATAAAACATTCATGGAACATGGAGTAACACTGTTGTTTCTTTAAATAAATCTGATATGGTAACACTGGTCATGAGCATACACAGGTCCAATATAAGAAAAGTTGCCAAACTCTGGCACATTTTTCAATAAAAAAAACAAACAACTTTAAAGCTGCACTGTGTAATATTTCTGATGCAGGATCCACCACATGCTTGCCCCCTATTGCTATGCCTGAAATGTAGCAACAGATCTTCTGTCATGGAGATAAGCACATGAAGGATGCATTTTTATATAAATGTATTAGTTTAATCCCTTAGTCTGGAACATACCTAGCAAATCATTAACATCTCCATGAGTCAAGCAGGACTCTGTAACAATAGTTACACACTGCACCTTTAACGAGAGTGAAGCAATGGCTGAGTCAAGACGTAAACAATTCAAACATTCACAAAATGTAGTTATGGAAAAGCAAAGACATGGTAAAAGCAAAAGTGACCAAGTGCCTGTTTCTAATTTCTTAATGCAACAGATCTTTGCTTAGACTTTTCAAACACCATCATTATAAATTACAGCAGGTTTAAGGCAAATCTAAACTGGGACTAAACCAGAACTAAACCAAAACTAAAACCAGAAAAGAACCAGGACTAAATCAGGACTGAACTATTGGTGGTTTTCCTGATTGTAGAATGTAATGATGTCATTCTCTCAGATGGGGGCAAGAGACAGATTTCCCTATTAGTAACATTGTACTTTGTCATGAAATATCCAAAAGGTTTATTCACAAAACTTTAAAGTTATCTTTTTTATTGGTGACTAAACCCATTCACTTGCTATATTACAACAAAAAACTAAATTTTAACTGTATTTACTTTAGCTGACCCCCAAATATTATTGGCCTATAAAATGATGTGATGCCATCTGAAAGCCAGCAATAATTTTGATAATTGATGAATTCAACATTGATTAGTTTAAATTATTACTGATAAGATTTTTATTTATTTATTTTTCATTTTGAATCAAATGTTTTTAGTTTGTTTTTTTTTTCTCCATTAAAACAATGTATTCTTATAATTTCTCAGGAGAACAGATCTAAAACTGAGACTAAACCCAGAATTAAACCAGGATTAAAGGAGGACCAAACCAGGTTTAGATCAAAGTCTAAATTGGGGGAAACCATAAACAAACCATAATTAGTTAAGATATAAAAAATAAATAAATAAAATAAATAAAACTATAATTTATCGTAATTGCAGCTCAAGATTTAAACACATCTAAGATAGGACCGAACCAGAACTGAAACAGGACCAGGACCAAAGGTGTGACTAATACTAAATCAGGATTATAACCAGTCCAAACTGAGATGATCTATACAAATATAATGGAATTTGAAATAAAACAGTTCATTTATCATTAAGTGACCTTAAAATGCAACCACCATCACTGTCATTTACATCCCCTTCAGCACCAGCATTTGAATAAATTATCAATAAATAAATATAAAAAGAAGAAATTACTTTACAAAATGCAAATTAGGCAGGAATCTCCCATTTGTGTTGGGACGTGACACAGGAAAAGTACCTCAAAAAGTACCCTCCAAATATTAAGGACAGCAGGAGAAGACAGAGGAGAAGGTAATGGATTGATTTTAAGGAGTAGGACATTTTTAAATTACAAGTTTCAAGACTTTTCAGAAATTGTATTATTGTGTGAAGCTACAGCCACAACAAAAAAATATTTAAGGTCCCATATTAGGCTATTTTCTGATCTATGTTATAATGTTGTTTCTTCATCACCAACAGACCTGGAGCTGTGTTTTGTTTCATTCACACGTTTGACACACAAACCCTGCATATTTAAGATGAATCTCTCAATCAGAACACACTCTGTTCCACCTTGTGATGTCATGCTGTAATATAGGTATTTTTTAAACTCCATAACACCTTCATTAGAATAATTTGGATGATTTCAATCTTGGAGATGTAGACAGACAAATAATAAAGGTTTACTCTAACGTGTGAATGAAAGAGGACATGGCACAGTTTTTGAGGAGGCAACACCATTATAACATAACTTAAAGCTCACAAGAGTCCATTTTGCATAACATAAGACCTTTAAGCTAGTCAAAACTCCTCAAACCAAGATTCTGCACGAGTCATTTTTATATATTCATTTTTGCAGTCAATATTAAAAGTCCTAGGGAATGCCATCCTTCCTTTGACAACACTGAGAAGGCGGTACACTCCAGTCGTAGACATAGGACAACCGTAACTTCACTTCCTCCTTACAAAGTCGTCCCTCTCGTTGTAACGTTTGATGCTTTTCCAACATGTCCTCCAAACTTTGCTTATGTGTCACTAAATATTTATTATTGCACCCACGCGACTTGTACTCCGTATCAAACCGTGGATCGTGAGTTCGCTTCACGTCGACTGGAGCTAACCACGCCCCTAGAGACACATCCTCGCTCTGCCATGTTTTGAAATACCCTGAATTCAAATGGATGTAACGGACAAGATCAGATGAGAGAATGTACCCTCCTCCTAAAGCGTAAGGAAGGTAGTAATCGCAAAGCTCCCATGAACTCTCTCGCCATTTTCCTGCAGATTTCACTCGACCTCTTCCTGAAAAAAATCCCCAATACAATCGACTTGGCTCTTTGGATTTTAGCTCCTCTTTAATCAAGTCTAGGCGAGCAAACGTGTCGTCGTCTGCTTTCAAAACAAACTTAAAATCGACGTTTTGGTCCAACCATGAGTACATGTGGATCAGCTTCATTGTGAGATTCTCGTATGAGTCTTTTAAATCTGGTAACAGCAGTAAGTCTTTGTGTCGAGCCTGTTCTGTGTTAAGATTTAACATGTCTTCATTAGATAGTCCATTAATTCCAACAACGAACATAGCTAAAATATCTGTATCGCGTTTGACAAGCCACGTACTTCGAATAATACTGCGTCTTTCTGTGTATTTTGGTCCTGTGGTGATAAGGACAACCAAAAAAGCAGAGAGGTCTTTTCTTAAGTCTGAAGAGGGGGGGAGTTTGAGCGCCTCCTGATGGTGGTGAAGAGGAGAGCCAGCATGTGGAGCCTGTCCAGGGGGGTCAGAGTGAGATTGTTTTAAGGTTTCTGAAGTGCATTTGGCCAAAAAGAGCAAAACAATGGTGAAAATGCACACGAAGCTGAGGAACAGCACTGTCTTGTGGCGACACATAAGACGCATCATGTTCATGGTGGAGACCTGGAGGAAAACACCAAGAAAAAAAGCTAATTATTTTACAATATTTTTAAATGATCCCAATGACAATATTCAGATAATATTAAAGAAATCCATCTTAATAGTGCTTAAATGGTCAAACCTCCTTCTCTTTAAGAAGAAGGTCAGATCTCAGAACCTCAGCAGGGCAGGGACTGGTCAGTAATTAGAAGGGAAATTGCTGGAAATACCAGGTGCCACAATGGGGCAGCAGTCGCAAATCGGTTGTTGTGCCCTTAGGCAAAACCATAGACTGTATAAAAGAAGTGGACTCAACGCCACTCAAATGAGGCTCGTGATGCTCACAGTCATAGGAGCAAATCTGGAGCCAGGCTCTATGTTATGAATAGAATTTTTTTGACAGACAAAATAGCGGAAAAAAATTCAGAATCATGTAGAGCGAGTTAATACGAACATTTTAAACCCAAAACGATGAGGCTCACTGAAACAGGTACAGAGAGAGGAGCCACAAGATCCTAATGTAAAATCAATTGGAGCCAGAGTCAGAAGGAGCCAGAAGAGCTTCCTGGCGAACTTCGTATTTAGCACACGGAGGCTGGAGCATTAGCTATGTCCACTCATATATACGGTCTATGGGCAAGACACTTAATCCACATTTGCCATGTGGTGTATGTGTGTGTTGGTGATGGTTAGCTGTGGCTACACTATTGTAGCCATGAATAAAAAGTGACTTTGAGCATCTGGGAAAGGGCTACACGCATAGTTTTTAAATAATTATTTGTTTTTATTTCATTCATAAAATATAGGGAAAAAAAGACATCATCAGTGTCATAAAGTTAAATACACAAGACATTCATGAAATGGAGCCGAAAGAAGAGTAATTTTCTGTTATTAAAATTAATGTGCTGTAAATGGTTTGGTACAAAAGGTAAATGGAAAATGAAAATTTCCATACCGGCTTGTCAAATAGTGGAGCTGTTTAGGAGCAAAATAGTTTGCTTTTATGATACAAGCATGAAATTTTGCCACATTACTAACACCCCCAGGACTAATATTTCTAGATATGGAACCAAGGCTAAGTCGACCCTGGAGGGAAGAACTGTGCGTGTCACAAACTTATTCAAAGTGCTCTAAGTGCAGCTGCTGCCATGAATCTGTACATGCCAAATTTGCCTTTGCACTCTTGCATCGCCAAGCACAGGCTTCTGCATCCACACTTGATAAGTTCATAGCATGCGTCCTTTGCTGGGGGAGCGTGGTCCACAACAGTAACCAGTGACTGCCATCATGCTTCCATCACCAATCTGCAGGTTGGGGAGATCTGGTGTCTTAAAATCCAAAAATTCTTAATGGTGCATTTTAGCTTTGGCTGGAATGTTCCACTGTATGGCATTAAACATGTCAGTCTTGTGTTTATTCAGTTAAGAATTGAAAATGTGTTTATTGCTCAAATACCTAAAATGCAGACATTCTTACATTTAGTAGGATCTCTTGTTTGTCTAGGGATGTTAATAATCTGGCAAAATGTCATGCTTGTACCCATGGATCTATTAAAATAAAAGAGAACAATTGAGGACTGTTTTGGTCCTTAACAGCTCCACTAAAAGCCTGATCCTGTCAGATCTCAGAAGCTAAGCAGGGCCGGGCCTGGTTAGTACTTGGATGGGAGACCACTGAGAAAATCAGGTGCCCCAGTGGGGTGGCAGTTGTAAAAACTGTCATTGTGTCCTTAGGAAAGGCACTTCACCCACATTGCCTAGTATGAAAGTGGTGTGTGCGTTAGTGATGGTGATGCGTGGAGGGGCCGATGGCGCAGATTGTCATACTCGCTTCCATCAGTCTGCAGTCTCTCCAGGGCAGCTGTGGCTGCTATAGTATCTTACCACCACTGGGTTTGAATAATATGAATAATGCTCTGTAAAGTGTCTTTGAGTGTCCAAAAAGAGCTATAAAAAAAGCAGCAACTGATTGACTGTAGTCTAGAAATTGTAAAAAAAATAATTGCATAGGGACTCCAATGGATAAGATAAAAAAAAAAAAAAAATATATAGCACTAAGCATGTATTGACCAATTTGCATTTATCTTATTTAAAATAATGACAGTAAATACCCATTTCAAAGTAATTGTACCACCATCTGTCCATCTAAAGTACACAAAGAAAGTTTGCATTGATTGAGCTGCACTGCAGCTACTGCAGTTTTTTTTTTCTGGTTACCACAGATTATGAATTAAAACACTGTAATAACTAAACAATAACAGACAATTTACCTTTTGATGATTACGTGGGATGACCGTTAATCACTGCAAAGAGAATCTGCAGCCTTGTTGTGCTAACGTTGGCTAAGGGGGGGAAATATTGTACGCACTTTAAAGAAAACCCCCCAAAAATGTAAACGAGCTGTGCGTGGACATGTCGGAGTAAGGATTAAAACGACGAAATCAATAAATAATACATTCAAAGCATTTGTAGCGTAATCCGAGTCATATTTTATCCCAAATATCCAGATTGTGTGGATAAATATAATCAGCGATTTGCACTGAGAGCTGCCATGTCGAAGAGGAAACGGAAGTGAAGCCCTCGACCATTGAAGTATTAAAAATAGAAACCAAAAAATACAATTGGGAATTTATTTATTTTAATTTATAATGTTAGAACCGGTTGGATTTTCATTCACGGGCAGGACAGAAATTGTAAGAATACTGTTTTGAAAGTGTCAGGAAAAAAATAAATTGTAGACAGCTGTAAAAGGCGCATGCGCAGAAGTATTTTGCGAAAAGTGAGCAGATATGAGAGCAGATGCATGTACTGCGTGCTTCAAAATAAAAATACTTTAGATGGCAAATAAAACGAAATAAAATTGTAGAAAAGTATTAATTCAGAAGTTAAATAGTAATTTATTGATTTGATCAGTACATAAATAGACATGTAGACTGTATTTGTTAAAACATTTTGTGAAAGTATTGAACCCCCCATTAAATATGATTTTAAAAAAGTTTGTCGCACTTAAATGTTATTTAAACTCCTGGAAGAATTAACATTTATTTTATAAAGAATTCTAATATAATGTAATAATTATCTATAAATAATGCCAGTATGCTTGTGGGTTTTATATTTTGTTTCTATTAGCACGTATTAATAAAAATAAAATATTAACGATTGTAGATTTTTTTTTTTTTTTTTTTTTTTTTTTTTACAAGTGATTTATTTTAATGACAGGAAGTCTCATTTCTGTGGCTTTACAATGCGCCGTACTGTCCATTGCTAGAGGTTTCAAATTCACCTTAGCTTCTGCAAATACAGGGATGACAATTTGCATGTTCACACATATCTACCCTGAGCATTCTCTGCGAACATGTTCACGCTTATAACTTAATTTTTTGTATCCAAATATAAATCGCTTTTTGCCTTCATTTTCCCCGGTTACTAGCGCTGTTGCTAACGTTGCTGGCTGCTGCTGCTTCATTCAGGAGCTATGACAGACAGGAGACGCGACCGACTTCACTGGAGATTATCATTACATTTTGCTTTATTTTTGCTCATTTTGGGACCGTGCGTAGTTGGATTGGCTGAGTTTGATCCGTATAAGATATTGGGAGTAAGCAGGAGAGCGAGTCAACCTGAAATCAAGAAGGCATACAAGACCCTGGCCAAGGAATGGTGAGTGGATCTGCAGTAGGCCGTTATCCCCCAACACATTTTACATGTATTTCCTTTTTCGCTCTTCTCTTTTCCCTTATTTTTCTGGTTGTGCGATCTCATATGCACAGAGATATACTTATTCGGCTTATTTTTAGACTATGGACGCCACCGTAACCTCTTGTATTAATGAGAAACGCTGGATATATGTAGGTTCAATAGCCATTCCAGTGGGGATTTTTGTAGTAGACTATAAACACTCGTTGGAAATACTCTTGTCTAATATAATATAGGCTTCAATTCATGTCCACGATGGATTGTATTAGGTACAGTGTTTGACTTAATTGTTTTGGTTTTGCTTTTTGTCCTTGCCAGGCATCCAGACAAGAACAAGGACCCATCTGCTGAAGACATGTTCATCAAGATCTCTAAGTCCTATGAGGTAGGATTGAAAGTATAATATTTTAAGCATAAGAAAGGTGCAAGCATTTAAGACACAGTCAAATTTTGAAATGACTCATATCATAACATAAATGTTTCATTTACTATGTATGTTTCATTTTCTTTTCTGCAATTCAAATAGCTTCTAGATTTGTCAAGAGTATCAAAAATCTGATACTAATTGATACCAAAACTAGTATTAGATACTAATTTGAACAAATATTGATATTAATAGTATTGATAATATATTACTTGTCTCCATTCAGATTGCAATTTTGATTAATCTTGCAGCCCAACCTATGAATAGCAATAAGATATTTGTTGTGATAATAATTGTGTTGTCTTATGTTGTTTCAGATCCTGTCTAATGAGGAGCGCAGAGCAAACTTTGACCGTTATGGACAGATGGATGAGAACCAGCCGTTCGGTCAGTCTCAGCACCATGGCTTCAGGAGCTTCCACCACAGCTTCTACTTTGACGAGTCCTTCTTCCAGTTCCCACGGTAACGATTCTGCTTTAAAGAACACTATGGAAAATTCTGATGTTTTCTTTCAAGGTGGAGTTTATGTGATTGTTTCCCAGTGATGGGACAAGATCTTGTGCCACAAGATTGTGTGCACACATGAGCAAAATGATCTTGTGAGATTTTTGTCCATGTGATTACATTTAGATTGGGGAAAAATATTTAAGAGTGTAACTTAGCAAACTTAAGAAGCTGTAGTTTGGGCAAAACACCAACAAAACTGTTAAAAAAGATTAATCAAAGTTGTGATGCCACACTTGTGACCTGAATTGCACGACTGATTTATTATAGATTATGTCATAATCTCATTTTGTCTTGTGGAAATTGTCTCGCCCGCCACTATTGCTTACATCCTTTTGATCAAGAATGGACAGTGGGCATTCAGTCTTTGTGTAAAGTATAATGGTTTTATCTATGTGTAAACCATTGTAATTTCAAACCTAAAATATGGTTAAAGTTGATGACTTGGTACATGACATTTGGTAAATTCAAAGTCTTAAGTATCTGAATCTCACTTCATTCATTCTCCTGTTAATTCTGTTTTTGTGTCTCTTGGCAAGATATTTGATCTAACATGCCTGTGCAGCTGTGTGCTTGTGTAATTGATGGTGGTTTGAGATGTTGGCACAGCAATATTACCATCTGTCAGCCCTAAGGCAACTCCAGAAGAAGCTATTGTTAAGATAGCTAAAAGTGTGATTTATTTTAATGCATAATGCAGTGTAAAGGGGTGAGGGTATCTCAGAGTATTACACGCCAGTTACCAATGAAAAATATTTAATCTTTTAACAGACATTTGCAAGGGGGAAACTAGCCCTTTAGGTAGGTTTCTGGTATCTAAAAACATATATATATTTTTTAATTTTTATTTCATATATTCATGAGTATCAAGCATTTCTGCAGAATTTAAATCAAGCTTGAAAGGCAGTTATTAGTATTTTCATCCTACCATTGTTAGCAACAGACCTGTTCTAGATCCACAGCTCTGTCCTGTTTATGACCTGCTCTGTGTCTCTTTTCTGTCTCTCTACCTCAGGTCTCGTGAGTTTGCTGACAGTAAATACCTGCTCCATCACGCTCAGTTCAACAGTGAGATTCTGCCTGACAGTTTCAGGAGGCCCTACCTCATCAAAGTGACCTCCGAGTGGTGCTTCGCCTGTGTGCACATCCAACCAGTGTGGAAGGAGGCCGTGGAGGAACTGGAGGCGCTGGGTAAGAGACGAGAAAAGAGAGGGGCAGAGAGGGAGAGCAGGAAAGGGGAGGCGAGGGGACGGGTGGGGGACTGAGAGGAGAGAGGAGATGAAGGAAAGGCAGAGAGGAGAGAGAACACTTACTGTATATGAGATATTCAGCTGTGGCCCATTCAGAAGCTGTGTTAAGTGGTCAGAGAAAATCAATTATTCATTGGTGGCAGATGTTAAAAAGATGCCATTTTAAGACACTGAAATCAACAGTATTAGCATTAGACTGTCGACCATTTTATGTACATTTTTAACACAAGTTATTAAGTTATTATATTATAATGTCATATAAAATAAATACAGCAAGTTACTTTTTATACATGTATTGTATGGTTTAATGTGTTTATTTGAGAAAAAAAAAGGTTTGGGACCAGGCCTAAACCAGGATCAAACCAATGTGTATATAGCCTAAACTTAGATCTCTTGATGTTCCTACACACAAGTATACCTTAGACAGACCTTTTATTAGACTTTTCACGCTCTTTAGATGGACCCCAATGCTCACTAGATTTAGTTGTGTTTACTTTACTTTTTGATTGCCCTTGTTCACATACACCTCACATTATGCGGCCCAAACACTCACCATGAGCCACGAGAGAGTCCATCGGAGTCCTTCAAGAGAACAGAGCCTCATGAATGTGCACACACAAACACACGCACTTCGTCTTTACGTAATGGTGGCGGAGGAGAAAATGCTTTTTGACCCAGGCTCCCCTGCGCAGACAGACCCAGGCTCCCCTGCGCAGACAGACCCAGGCTCACCTGCACAGATAGACGCAGGAGGAGACATGTTGCTGATTTTATGTTGACCCAAATTTTCTCATCAGACGAAAGTGTCAAACAGCAGCTGTGTAGCACCCATTCATACAATATACGTGATCTGAGCGCTCTTTTGCCCAATGCTATGCACTAAAGGTCAGCCCGAGGTCAGCCCGAGGTCAGCCAAGTTCACACCCAGTGCTCTTTTGCGTTAACCTAACTAATGACAGTGTGAAAATGACCTTAGACTTAGACAAACTTTATTGGTCCACAAAGGAAATTATCTGGACACAGTAGGTAAATATAACAACAAAGGTCAAAAATATAAATATAATACATTCAAAATAAGTAGCAAAAATAGACTGGACTGGTGTCTAATAAGGCGTTATTATTGTAGATGTGCAAAAAAAAAAAATCTGTGTTAAACCTCCTGTATTTGTGTCTCCTGCAGGTGTGGGCATTGGTATCATAGATCTGGGATATGAGAGGAGGCTGTCAACTCAGCTTGGAGCCCACCGTGCCCCCTCCATCATCGGGCTCATCAACGGCCGTGTGTCCTTCTTCCACCAGGCCGTGGTCCGAGAGCACCTCAGACAGTTCATAGAAGATCTGCTGCCAAACAAACTCGTACACAAGGTAAAAGATCTTTATGATCTAGCCTATGTTCTATTTTGTGTTCACTGTTCTGTTTTATTTTTTGTTTAGAATAAAACCAGAACATAGGTAGATCATGATTTTACTGCAGAAATTCATAGCTTTATTTCACTGTAGCAAGCAGCAGATTTTCATGCATGCATTTATACTGTTAAGAAATGGCTATGTGACCATTTTTAACCCTACCCCTAAGTGTGGCCTGGAGTCCGCATTGTCTGAATAACCAAAACTTAATATAGGAAAGTAGGCGGAGATGGGGGGGGTAACTGAAAACTGAATGTGCATGAATGAAGCTA